TTAGATGAAAAACATCAATATTTTGTTTAGTTTTTGACAATCTCAGCATGAAATTTATCTCAGTGTAATAAGACTTAATATTTATATGAAACCTGGGTTGCGATGCCTTATAGTGCATATTTTTAAAAGTTTAACCAACCTAAGACTATTTAAAATTAAATTCTCTAAGCAAAACAGTAATTTATAATGAAATTATATTTCAACTGGGAGCTGTTTTAAAGCACTGAATTGAGAATCGTTACTAAAACTATAATTTAATGAAAAACTACCTGATTTTCAGTTGTAGTAAATATTCTATTATGTTTAAGTATTTTTATTATAATGGCATGTTTCAAATAAACTCAATCACATTTAGTGAGTACATATTTTGTGAAAGGCATTGGATGGTAGGTGTAGAGCAGAGAGGGATATAGAAATTACTAAGACTTCTGTTTCCTGAGATATGGCAGACTAGGTACCATAACCAACCCTCCTGCTGAAAACAACCAAAAAGGGTAGGGTATAATATTAAAGAATGACAAAATCTTTTTAAATGTATTAATCATTTTCAAATACTCAATGGCCAAAATCTAAGAGATAGGAGGAACCTAGAAGGTAAATTGAGCATTGAAGGTGGCTTTTGACTTACTTGAGTGCATTTACTTAATCTGAAAAAACTTACATGTTGATTTTTATTACTTCATGAAAATGTAGGAATAGAAGACAAAGCCAGAAACTGCCTAAATAGAACATCTACTAGATTAAGTTACATAAAAGTGCTGTTCTCTCCATGTCAGGTAAACTAGGAAGAAATTGTCCTCTCCAAGGGACTGAAAAGAAACGGTATTCAACTTTGGTGGTGGGAGAGGGTGGGAAATACCCTCTGAAATTTTGGAACCACAATTAAGGCAATGTATACCATTATGTGAAGTTGCAGAACACTGAAACTAAAAAGATCTTAATTGAAGCCAGGGAGGAAATTTTACCTGCAAAGGAACAACAGTTAGACTGAGAGTTGACCTTGAGAGTAACAACGGAAACCCCGCATTCCGAGGAATGATGATTTCAATGGGCTAAGAAGAGATGACTGTGATTCCTGAAGTATAGTCACCTAAAAATCTTGGAGGAAAAAAAGTGAAATCCCCCCCCCCCTTTTTTTAAGACAAAGAGAAAGAGATAAGAGTTTGCCACCAACAATTCTGAAGGATATGCGTCAGGAAAAAGAAAAACTCTATCCTAGTTGAAAGATAGAAGATACCAAAAAATAAAGAGCAAAGCAGATGGGAAAATCTAACAGGCATTGACTATAGAAGCCAATGATAATGTTTTGTGCAGTTAAAAATGTAAGCCAAATAAAACCCACATACATAATAACAGTGGCATCTAATTGGGTAAGGATTCTTACAAGATTCTTGTAAGAATCTTTTAGGAAGAATTGTAAAGATTTACTTAATTTAGATTTTTCTTTTACATATCCGTGTTAAAACCTTAAGGGTTACTATTAAAAGACTAGAAATAGACTATGAAATCTGTAAACCATAAAATGGAGAAATAGAATTGAAGATAATTAAGACATGTTTGTTTGTTTTTTCCCTTTGCGGCTCTTGGTACCTACTAAGCAGTGGCGGAGACAGGGAGTAACTTTGGGGGGCTCTCTTTGCCCCAGTTTATGAACCACACAGATTTGCTTGGCTTGGTGTTTCCTCCCACCCCTCACCTCAAAGCTTGAGTTGCTTTGATTTATTTCCAGACTGGAGAAACCTAGCCAAGGCTCATGGCCTTCCCGCAGGTGTCTGCTGCCAATGGTACCACTGCCACCAATCGAGGAGCCTCTGGAAGGGGGCCAGCTGACAAGCAGAGATGACCACGCCTGAGTGCTTGCAATACCTCGCCTTGGCACTCTCTGGCTTCCTTAGCATTTGCCTGGAAGGGCCAGGTAACTCAGACCCACTGTGTGTGGGAGTTACCAACACTTGGAATGAACATTAACCAAGGAAAGGCGGGAGACAGGAAGAAACTAGCAGATTGTTCTTTGTCTTTTCTTCCAAGGCTCAGTAATTCCAGACTGTGGACAGATCCTGAGAGACTGAGCTAAGCTGTAGCCAGCTTGGTTACAGACCCTCTTACGTTAGTGCTCCCTCCTTGAATGACTTACTTCCTTTTTTTCTCTCACTCATGCTTTCCTGGGATTGCACCCTTTTGATAACATAAACATTTGTCTTAAGCTGTGTTATAGTGATGCCAGGCTAAGACACAACTTTTAGACACCTCTCCATAAGCTTCATTAGCAAATCCTCCAGAAACCATTCAAAATAAACATGAAAACTAAATAATAAAAAATATCCTACCTGTGCATATGCAGCTCTAAGTTGATTTTCTACCTCTTCCTCCCTTTAACAAAATTGATGCCGTCTCCTGAGCTCTTGTCATATAGAAATTTGGAGTCCTGGTAGTAGAAAAGATAAGCAATACACTTGAACACCTCTCATCTGAGATAAAGATATGGTAAGTTCTATAGTAGAGGCACAAAATATGTTTGAGAAACAGACTAGTCAGCCAGGTTTGGCAGAGTACAGAGTATGTTGGTGAATAGTGAGAGGTTAAAATGGAAAGGTTGTCTTGAGGTTTCAATATTACAGACCTGGAATTGAAGGCTAGGTGCCTGAATTTTATTTAATGGATGATGGGAAGTCAATTAAAGGTTTTTAACAATAGAGTGACAATCAGAAGAAGATAACACATGTTACAAATATATAGAGATGTGTATACACATACACATATTTGTACATACATGTATGTATTTGAGACAAGGGTTTACAAAAATGTATCCCCCTCTGCATTAGAGTTTCATCTTCAATTAGTTCTCTTACTTTGCTTCCCTGGTAACCTGGCAGAGATTATCACGATGTTTCTAGGCAACATTGCTTCTGATAAAAATGACCTGATTGGTAAAATGCATGTGCACTGGGAGAAAGAATAAATAAACCCTAAGTGCAGTGATTCTTAACTTAGCATGTCCCTTGTGGGGGCCCTGGAAGCTATGCCTGTGGAGTTGTTAGACGAGGTATGGGCACCTGTGGGATGTGGGGCTTTTAAGCCAGGACAGCTCCACCTGCCCAATGTGAGTCTCATCCTGAAGGGACTATCAGAAGGCCTTCCATGAAAGAGCAGTGTCTCACCCTGCCCTCTTGGTAAGCTGGTTCCTGTCCTGTGTAGGTTGGTGACAAATGTGATCTGCTTGAATGTTTACTTAAATCAGATGAAAATCAAACAGTGAAAAGAACACTTTAAGACCAAAATTATAAAAGTGATATGACTGACCATAAGAATATTGTGAAACATATGTTAAAAAAGATACTTCAAATGAATTCAGAAGACAATTTAGGAAACATTTACAAATCAGATGGAAGATAAAGGGTTAATAACTATAATATATGTCTTGTTAATGAGAAAATATAAATAATACAATAGAAAAAAGGGGGGCAAAAGCTAAGAATAGGCACTTAACAGAAAAGCAAAACCAAATGGTGAATAGACAAATGGAAAGATGCTCAATTGTTAAGAGATCAAGGATTACACCACAACATCGCATCCCATGTCAGGCTAATAATAACACTTCTTGTGGGAGTTTGGTGGAGGGCCATGGTAGTAGTATTTACTAAAATTAATAATTTCCCTACTCAAACCTATCCATTCCTCTGGTACTACCTCTAATAGTAAAACCACATTATGAAAATAAACAGGGATGTTTATTGAATGTTGTTATTACTGACAACAATGTGAATGCCCAATAGTTGGTAATAGTTGAATAAAGGATGACACATCTATTCCATGTACCACTTAGCAGCCTTTAAAAATTATATCTCTACCACTTAACTTGATGGTATTCCCTTTGAAGTAGACGTATGTGGAGAGTAAGGGGGCAGAGATGTGTATAAATATAATCCTGGATATACAAATAATTATATAGGTTCCTTTTGGGGGAGTGGTTGGGCAGTTGGTGGAAGGGGTAGATGAAGAATGACATGAAAAAATGATACCACAAAAGATAATCCTATTTGTGTAAATTTTTGTGCTGGTATATGTATAAAGAGATACAGTATGCTTATTTATCAAAATATTAAATGGCAGTTATCTGAAGACAAAGTTTCAGGTAATTTTTAATGTGTTTTCTTTATACTTGTATGAATTTAAAAAATACTTGTATTTAAATATATGTTATGTAATTATATTACATATAACTTATAGCACAATGAAAATATATATATTCAAATAAAGGAAAATCAAAACATCAATTTTATTAGGGAGAGAGGCATTTACTAAGTGCCTTCTGTAAAGTAGTTTTCCCTTATCCACATTTTCTCTCTCTGTGGTTTCAGTTGCCCAAGATTAACCATGATCTCAGAATATTAAATGGAAAATTCAAGAAATCAACAGGGAGTTCTAAATTGTGCTCCATTCTGAGTAGCATAATGAAATCTTGCACTGTCCTGCTCCATCCTGCCCCAGATGTGAATCATCCCTTTGTTTGGCTTAACTATGCTCTCTCTATACCCCACCCACTGAAGTCTCACAGCTCATAACTTGGGCCCATGTCTTTCTAACCATAGTGATAATTGCATTTTACATGCGTTTCCTCACATACCACAAATCTTCCTTTATTTAACATGAAGCTGTTCTGTCCTGGAAGGAGCTCTGTATATGTAATAGAATATGTCATTTACTCTTAACAGCTTTAAGGGAGAATTGAGGTATTGTATATTACAGGTTTTTACTTCCAAAATTAAGTTTGAATTAGTAAATACTGAGAGTTCCTGAGAAGCTGTATAAAAACAAAACTATTAATGTTTTATGTAGTGTGTGTGAGTTTCTGTTTTTTAAATAATAATAATATTTACCTTTGAGCCCTATTTCTGCATAAATATAATACATTTATTTCTTTTTAAATTTAGACAACTAAAAGTAGAAGTTTAACAATTCGATTGCATTCATTTTAAAACTTTTAAATTCTTTATCTTTAGGTTATCTTCATTGTAATGAGTATGATAGTCTGAGGTTGAGGTGGCTGAGGCAGACGTTAGAATCTTTCATCCCGGAGCCTTTGGAAAATGTAATTAAAGTGTCTGAATTGGATGGCAGAGAAATGGGAGATGCCCAGCCTGAAAAGTTTGACAAGGTACTTTATTACATTGTGACAAACGGATGGACTCCCAGTGATACCACTGTTGTGTTGTTTTGTTTTGTTTTGTTTTCCATCTGTTTCCAGACAGAGCCTGATACAGTTTCTTAGTACCCTGGGAAATTCTGATAAGTGAACCTGGAAGTAGTTTTCATTTGATGGTCAGCATGGTTCAAAGGAAGCGGTAACATTGGGATTGCAGATTATAGAATGTTTTTTATTTCCAGTTACTTCAAAGATATTTAGGAAAAGATCAGATATTACTTGTGTCACTATACAAACATGTTCATTGTATTGCTCCAATTTGGTAACATTTCATATCAGAATATGATAGTTGAAGAAAAAGAACATTTCAGTAAACTGAAATTGAAATATTAGTTACTAAAAATAAATGCTGAGAATGCAGAAATATAATATCTGTTTAAAATGAGTCACTTTAATAAAATCTTCTGCTATAGTTGTCAAGTATATGAAATATTAGTGGACATTAGTAGATTTTTAGTCCTCTCCCCATTCATTCTCCCTCCCTCCCCCTCCACCCCCTCCCCTCCAAAAATCCAAACACTGAAAGTGCACAGGAAATTTGTTGAAAGTATTAGTAAAGAAATGTCATAAAGAAGAATTATCATGGTGTATTTTTGGCTTTAAAAGAAATGTCTTTATTTGCTATTTTTGATCATGTTTTACATAGCTTCCCTATATACTTTGTGTCTGAGGATGTATTTTCAGCACATATTTGCATTATGTATCCTCTTTTTCCCTAGGTGTTAGTTGATGCTCCATGTTCAAATGATCGAAGTTGGTTGTTCTCTTCTGATTCTCAGAAGGCAGCCTGTAGGATAAGCCAAAGGAGAAAGTTGCCGGTTCTACAGATAGAACTCTTAAGGTAAGGGCTGTTAATGCAAACATTTATTTTGGTTCTAATGTAATTTAAATAGATGTGACAAAACATGGCACGAGGAAGTCCCCAAATAGAAGGTTTCCTATGTAGATGTCCAAAGACTGCACCCAGATAATTCTCAATCTTATTCCTCCAAAGGCTACACTCAGAAAATTCTCAATCTTATTCCTCAAAAGGCTGTACCCAGAAAATTCTTAATCTTATTCCTCCAAAGACTGCACCCTCATAATTCTCCATTTTATTCCTCCAAAGATTGTACCCACATAATTCGCAATCTTATTCCTCCAAAGGCTGCATCCTCATAATTCTCAATCTTACTCCTTTAGAGGCTGCACCCAGGTAATTGTCAATCTTATTCCTCCAAAGACTGCACCCAGGTAATTCTCAATCTCTTCCCTTTCAGTTCTCATGCTGGAATGTTCCTTCTGCCCCTGCCCTGATAATGAAATACTGTATTACTGTGCATTGTCTTTTAAAAGGCACAAGTGATTTTACTGTGGTTTAAAATTGTTTTCTTATTGGGACCATCCCAAACCTAGGTTTCATCACCTTATTCTTTCATCAGGATTTGAACCAGAATGCAGCTTTGGATCCTATGTTTTCCTTCTATTTATATTCTTAATTTGCTCTTAATTAGCTTATCCCATAAATTTTGGGTTTCCTTAGGCAACTGATGTTAGTTAGAGCTCTTTTCTATTTATCAGATGGCTTCAACTGATATAAGACACTATCTCCCAAATATGGGTCTAAGCTCAGATATTTCTCCTTTGTCTCAGAACTTTATATTCAATATTCTACCAGAGATGTCTATTTGGAAGTCACTCAGACATACAGAACTCAATTTGTCAAGAGAGAACTCATAATTTCTAGTGAACTTCTGCCTCACCCATTAACAAAACAAAAAACAAAATAGAAACCCCACCAACCTGTCTCTTTTCCTCTCTTCTATCCTATATAATAAAAGCCTAATATGCCAAGTGTCTGGTCGTCCAGTCATCTATTCAACCAATCTAAGCATAATATGCTAGTGATATGCTAAGGCTGCTCAACCGCTCACTGTGACGTGCACTGACCACCAGGGGGCAGACAATCGACTGGTCGACCAGTAGCTATGACGTGCACTGACCACCAGGGGGCAGACGCTCTGACCGGTAGGTTAGCTTGCTGCTGGGGTCCGGCTGATTGGGACTGAACGAGACGGGCCAGACATGCCCTGGAGCCTTCCTGCAGTCCCTCCCTGGCTGGCCAACCTCTCGCATCCCTCCCCGGTCCTGATCTTGCACTGGTGGGGTCTTTTGGCCTGGCCTGCACCCTCTCGCGATCCAGGCTAAGGGACCCTGCTCCCTGAGTGCACCAATTTGATGCACCAGGCCTCTAGTACAGTGATGGCGAACCTTTTGAGCTCAGCGTGTCAGCATTTTGAAAAACCCTAACTTAACTCTGGTGCCGTGTCACATATAGAAATTTTTTGATATTTGCAACCATAGTAAAACAAAGACTTATATTTTTGATATTTATTTTATATATTTAAATGCCATTTAACAAAGAAAAATCAACCAAAAAAATGAGTTTGCGTGTCAGAGGTGACACGCGAACTCATTTTTTTGGTTGATTTTTCTTGTGTCTGAGGTTCGCCATCACTGCTCTAGTATCTCAATAATTGCTGTGCCTACCACCTTGCATTTGCCCAAGTCAAAGTTCATCTCCAACTCCCCTTTCTCATATGCAGTCTATCACTATGATATTTTAGTTGTATCTGTATATTTCTCAAGCCCATCTAACTCTTTTCATCCTTATTAGCCTAATCTAAGCTACCAGCATCTGTCCCCTAAATTATTGCAACTGGCTCCTAACTGTCCTGAATATCTCCAGGTGTGAGCTCTACTTCACTCACCATGATAAAGCCAAATCTGATCTGAAATGTAGATCTGATCTTGTCATTTTTCTTTTTGAAATTCTGCAGTAATTCCTCATTGCCATACGATGTCAAATTCTTTAGTATGATATTGAAGTCCTTTTTGGATATGGTTCATTCTTATTTCACTTACCTCATGTTTCAGGACTCCCTTGCATTGTGTTCCAACTGTGCAGCTCCTCACACTCACTTTACAGTATCTCATTTCTGAGGCCAGTGCATTTCCTGTTCCTTTTGCTTAAAAGTTCTTCTAACTCATTCTCTCCTTTCTCTTGATTAACTCTACTAGTTCTTACCTGACTCCCTAGGATTGAGATTGATATCCCCCTTCTGTCTTTCACTTTACTTAAAAATTTATTGATTGTTAGGTCCTCTGCTTGACATTTGCCCAGTACTTGTCTCTCTCCTCAACATGACCGTAAGCCCCATGGGAGCAGGGATTGTCTAATGGTTTTTATTCCCATTATATGATTTGTTTTTTGGAATGTAGAAGGGGGTCAATAAATAATTTTTTAAAAACACGAAATTACAAGGGCTGAGTATTTAGAATTCACATCTGTAATTAAATTTAGAGCAAAGTTAATTTGACAAAAATAATGATATGATCATTATCGTGCTGTATGGTAATTAGGCTTAAATGTAAAGCAATTCACATAATTTATTTTTATTAGTATTGCTTTTACTTAAAGCATGGTTTTAGTTTAGTTTAGGTTTTCCCCATGTAATACATTTCCCTTAACGTCATATAACATTTCAATCATCACGAAGACCCTGCATTTACATAAAGCTCACATAGGCACCTTCTTATGTCCTAACAACTGGGCTCTTTTTTAGTGGCCTCTCCTCTCTCCCATCATCTTACTCCCTCAAAGGATTGGCTTTAGCACCACATCACTTTAGTAGCGTATCCACAGGGCCCAGAATTGACATCTCAGTCACAGTGGTTGTAGGTGTTCACGCAGTCGTATGTGATGGGGAAAGACCATCATACAGCTATCGCCCATTCTCCTTGAGCAGTTAAACTATATTCCTTGACTCTGCTGCCTGGTCTGTGTGAGGTTTTGGAGCCACTTGAAGCAGCTGAAATTCTTGAACCCCTTGGCTGTGTGGTTATAATGATAAAGGGGACAGTGGGGATACCCCAGCTATAGGCACAGAAAATGGTTTTAATTCTCTGAAATCTACAAGTCTGGGGATTAAAAAGATAATGGGACAAAAATAATTCCAGCCACAATCTCTCTTTTATTTCCTGACTCCAAAAAATGAAGAAAGTCTATAGTATTTTTCTCATCAGGGATGAATCTATCACTGTATCACATACAAAAAAGTTTCTCTTTCTTTTGGATTGATAGTGGATCCTCATTTGTATTTGCAAAGAACAGTTAGAAAGCTAGCAAGTAAATACTGCCTAACCTGGTATTGTTGACAGAAGATGGCACTTAGAGGGAGAAAAGGAGTAGAAAGGATATGTGAGAAACAAATAAGGAAAACTTTAAAAATATATATATATATATATTACTGATTTCAGAGAAGAAGGGAAAGGGAGAGAGAGATAGAAACATCAATGATAAGAGATTGGCTGCCTCCTGCACGGCTCCACCTGACTGGGCCATGACCTCCTGGTCCATAGCTTGAAGCTCAACCACTGAGCCACTCTGGTCAGGCAGGAAAACTTCTTGATTGGCCTAGACTTGTATCTGCTTTTGTTTGCTGACAGATGTGGTATTCAAAGGTACATGATGCTCTCTATGGCTATATATTCATTTACCTTATCAGAAACCATTCATATTTATAGTAAACTAGAGGCCCGGTGCACGAAATTCGTGCACTGGGGGGAGGGGGCCCCTCAGCCTGGCCTGCACCCTCTCCAATCTGGGACTCCTTGGGGGATGTCAGACTGCCTGTTTAGGCCCGATCCTTTACCAGCAGTCAGACATCCCTCTCGCAACTCAGGACCGCTGGCTCTTAACCACTTACTTGCCTGCATGCCTGCCTGATTGCCCCTAACCACTCTGTTTGCCAGCCTGATCACCCCCAACTGCTGGCCTGATCACCCCCAACTGCCTCCCCTGCCAGCCTGTTTGCCCCCAACTACCCCCTGCCACTGGCCTGATTACTCCCAACTGCCCCCCCCACCAGCCTGATTGGGGTTGGGGGGCCGATTAGGGGTGGGGCTGGCCATGGGGAGGGGCTGTGGTTGGTGGGCTGGGCAACCACCCCCCCAAATGGGTTAGGGGGTGGCGATCAGGGCCAGTGGCCTGGGGGAAGAGCCATGGGTGGTTGGCCAGCCAGCCCTGCCCCTGATTGCGGTGGGGGGCAATCTGGGGTGGGGCTGGGCAAGGGGAGAGGCTGCAGGAGATTGACTGGCCAGCCCTGCCCCCTATTGGAGTGGGGGGATCAAGGGTGGGGCCAACCTGGGGAGGGGCTGCAGGACATTGGCCGCCCCAGCCCTGCCCCTTCTTGGGGTGGGGGGGTGCAATCAGGGGCAGATAGCCCCGGGGAGGGGCTGTGGGCCTATTGTGGTGGGGCAGGTTGGTCAAGGATGTGGCTTGCGGGGGGGGGGGGGTGGTGGGAAGAGAGGGGGTATTTGGCCAGCCGGCCTGCTCTTCTTTTTTTTTTTTGGCAACTCCACAATTTTAATTTGTGGTGCCTATGCTATGTCTGAAAAAGACCTTCTCCCCCTGCTCAGGAGAGCGATGGGGAGGGGGCAGCAAAAAATAGAAGACATCCCTCCCTATTGCACACAGACCCTATATACAGGCTCACCTGGCCCAGGCTGGCGGGATGCTTGGCACATTCTAGGATCCCTGCTCAGGGCCTGGAGGGGTGACTGGTGGCAGCACACATGAGAGGGGACCTCTGGGTGACCACTCTGGTCCTGGCTACTGGTCTTGGCACTTCCTGGTCCCCAGTTCCTTTCTCTTCCTGCCTGCAGCCTTGGTCCCCCTACCTGGCCTCAGATGGCCCCCTTGGCTTCTGGGGGCTCTGTCCTCCCCTCCTAACCTGGAGATCTCAAGGAAGGTTATGGCTTCTCAGAGACTCCTCGACAGCCCTATCACTCATGTTCACA